TTAAATGGCATAGATCTTTTGCTGATTGACTAAGCAACGCACATTTGGAGAGGAGAGGGGAGCGGTGAAGAACGGAAAGGATGAGGAAGTATGCTCCTAGGACTTCCCTCTTTGTGAAATTGATGCTTAGGTAGAGCTGTTCCACAAAAACGCGTCATTAGGCTTTCCTTTTTATGGAACTGATGCTTAGGTAAAGCTGAGAGCGAATAAGTTCCATGAAATGGGCAAAAACAGGGCAGAATGGATGCCTGGGGATGAAGTTAGCTTTTGCTCCTGTGAAATTTTGAAGACAAAAAAAACAAAGATGTAACTGTTGTGCACAGTTGCAGGTTGCGAGAGGCAACACTGTGGAATTGTCTGTAGTTCTTGTATAATCCAGTTGGACTTATTTGCCCTCAGCGTCACCTAATTATAAACCGCATAAATCCGGGACTGCTTACTGAAGACGGGTTTTTACAAGACAAATCCTACTAAGTTTTTGTTTGCTTTTGCTTTTTTCAGTTTTTGTTTGCTTTTACTTTTTTAGGTTTTGATTACAGGCTCCAATTCTTTGATTTTTCTTTTTTCCCTTTTATTCACAAATTCAGGTTTGTTTTAATTTGCTTTTCTTTGTAGTGTCGTGTTGGCTTATTTTTCCCTTGACTGCTTTATGCATTTCTTGCTTCGAACTCCTGACTAGCACTCTTCTTCCCATCCTGTATCCTCTCCCCAATCCCTGCCTCCAAAGCCGCATTGGGGCACCCACCACCTCCAACCACTGCCACCGTTTATCATCCTGAACTGCTAATCAGCAGCTTCACTCCTCTCCACTATCCTGGCCTCAATCGCCCCCTCTAAGCTGTATCTGGGCAACTACCAATCAACACCCCCCAACCACTTCCAATTCTCCTACCCATCATCCCCCGGGTAAACGAACGGCGCTTCCCAGTGCATCTGGCAAAGTCCCAACGAGCAACACCGCGAAATGGTGTTGGCGGAGATGTTAGAACAATGCGCTGGATGGCCCAAGCACCATAGGTCACCAGCCGAGTTTTTGTAATTGCCCATTTTTGTTCGTTTAGCTAGAACTATCTGCCCAAAAAAATGCTCTGCTTAGCAACAAATAACTGTGGGGGAAAACTGTGCCTTATGAGCACCGGTAATGTTGTACACTGTGACGACTCCGGTGTGCATGTGTGGATATTTGTGTTTGTGTGTGTATGTGTGTACGTTTG